AGTCCAACCAAAACACGTTTCTACCATCAAAAGTCCAAACAAAAACATGACTCAACCATCAAAAGTCCAACAAAAACACGTTTCTACCATCAAAAGTCCAACAAAAACACACCACAACCATCAAAAGTCCAACAAAAACATGTTTCTACCATCAAAAGTCCAAACAAAAACATGACTCAACCATCAAAAGTCCAACAAAAACACGTTTCTACCATCAAAAGTCCAACAAAAACACTCCACAACCATCAAAAGTCCAACAAAAACACGTTTCTTCCATCAAAAGTCCAAACAAAAACACACCACAACCATCAAGTCCAAAAAAACACGTTTCTACCATCAAAAGTCCAACAAAAACATGACTCAGCCATCAAAAGTTCAACAAAAACACACCACAACCATCAAAAGTCCAACAAAAACATGTTTCAACCATCAAGTCCAACAAAAACACGTTTCTACCATCAAAAGTTCAACAAAAACACACCACAACCATCAAAAGTCCAACAAAAACATGACTCAACTATCAAAAGTCCAACAAAAACACATTTCTACAATCAAAAGTCCAACAAAAACACACCACAACCATCAAGTCCAACCAAAACTCACAACCATGAAAAGTCCAATAAAAAACACACAACACAACTATCAAAAGTCCAACAAAAATACGAATCTACCATCAAAACTCCAACAAAAACATGTTTCTACCATCAAAAGTCCAAACAAAAACACTCCACAACCATCAAAAGTCCAACAAAAACACTCCACAACCATCAAAAGTTCAACAAAAACACGTTTCTACCATCAAAAGTCCAACTAAAACACACCACAACCATCAAAAGTCCAACAAAAATATGATTCTACCATCAAAAGTCCAACAAAAACACACCACAACCATCAAAAGTCCAACAAAAAAACATTTCTACCATCAAAAGTCCAACAAAAACACACCACAACCATCAAAAACACGACTCAACCATCAAAAGTCCAACAAAAATATGATTCTACCATCAAAAGTCCAACAAAAACACATTTCTACCATTAAAAGTCCAACAAAACACGAGTAAACGAAACAATATTGAACCGATCGATGTGTTTTTTACCGCTGTTGTGTCTGGTATGTGCTATTGACTTTCACACTGTTGCTAAAGTCAGTTTTCAAATACCAATGTTTTTCTAACAATAACGAATTAATGAATTTAAACAAGGTCTATTTTTATCTATTTTTCTTACCCCGTTGACAAACAGGTTTTTAGGTTTCAGAAACAGTTGTTTTTTCTTGTTTTAAACCAACATTTTATGCAATCATTAAAATAAAATATGTATATAAAGAATCTGTGACATAAATGTATCATGTTTGTGGATGTCTTGATATTTTAATATGAAAATACAGTTCAATTAAAGCAAACCGATTAATCTGATGCAATCCAACCAGGACCCGCAGCGAGGTACGATATAAAACCTGGGGATATTGAAAACAAATTTGACAGGGGTAAAATAAGGAAACATCAGGCTTGGCAAATATCTCTCTCACATTAACCTCAAAGCAACAGGAGAGATTTCACAGAACATCAACCCCATGAACACCAACCGATGTGGAGAGATTCCCAAATCTAAAAGCAATATCGTCTTGTTTTTCCAGGTGCGTTTTGCGTATCCCTCTGAGATCTCAGCAACCGAGAAAGCTGGCGATTCCAACGCTAACCTTAAGAAGGCAACGACCACGGGGAATTGAAGCTCAGGAGACAGAAACAGGCTGAGAAATGCACAGAAATCCATCTTTAAAGTTTTAGAGGACTTTGACTGACAGCTGCACTCTCTTCTGCCTTTCACTGTTGATCAGTGAGGAAAATAATGAAGTCGTCAAACCCTCGTTCGTTATTTATTCAAACATTTTCCCTTTGAATAAGAGTATATTCTAATCCACCCCAACCTGTCAGTCTTGTTTTACTCACCTTATTTAATCTGCACAATTATTTATATCATCTTCTGCAGGAGTATAAAAAGACAAGAGTGGGAGAAACTTACAGTAATAAATCATTCATCTTCAATAAATTAGTTAAAAAATACAAATCCAGCCTCATTGAGACGTGATGCTCAAATAATACCTTCAATAATTGTCAAATAAGTGACAAAAGGTGCATTTTATACAAAATAATATATATATATATATATTGGAATAAAATATAAAAATGTGATCATGTTTATAAATTCATGAAAGGGGTGGTATAATGTCAAACTTTTATGATATGCAAAATAAGTCTCTGTCATCCCCAGAGTGTGTATGTGAAGATTTAGCGCAATATATATATATATATATATTTTACAGCATGATAAAATTGTCCCTTTTTGAGGGTCAATAAAATGTGTTGTTTTGTGTGTGTCCCTTTAAATGCAAATGAGCTGAGGGGGTGGAGCTACAAGAGCTTGTCTCTGTGTGTGTGTATGTGAGATAGAGAGAGAGAGTGTGTGTGTGTGTGTTAGCAGTTTCGATTACCTCACAGACAAGTACAAATATGTCAGAAACTGTTCTGCCTTTTATGTGTAAAGATGGAGAGACTCAAAAGTGAAATCATAATCAACCACCCCCCTTTAACAAATTTTATCTATGTATAAATATATAATACATTTTTAGATAAATAAATTGATTAAAAATAGTTAAAATTGTATTTAAAATTAAAAGATGTATTTAAAATATTTTTTAATTATTTAGTACAAATATATTTTGTCAATGTCAACAAATATAATTCAAATATATATAAAAAATGTTTTAAATATATAAAATAAGAACCACACTAACCTCAAGCATGAGTAATTAATTAGCAAACAACACTAAAACATCAATAGCATGAAAATAAATGTGCCTTGCTCTCCATTAGTCCCTTGGGAACCCAAAAAAACAGACAATGGGCGAGAAATGGCTAAAAACGGGCGATTATCAGCACCTAGAGAAGAAAAAAAGGGGAAATAAAAGGCAGATGTAGGAGTGAGAAATGTTCCACTGGTTTGGGTCATGCGAGTGCAGCGGTAAGGCCCGGCGTAAGGCTTTTCCCCAGAGACGCACGCTGTGCTGTTTGGACTTTCATTGGGAAACTGCTGCCTGCTCTTTAATGAAACCTATATTTCACACCATGGGGGATGAAGGCGCTCTTACTTTCCTCTGGTACGAACACGCACACACACACACACACTTTCTGTCTGACAGAATCCCAATTCCTTCGGTGTGTGTGCCGAGCGCTTGATTAGACGCAGCGAGAGGGCAGATGCATGATAACCTTACACTTAACTTTCGTCCTTCAGCGTGTTGGCCGTCATTCACACCCGTGTAATAACAGCGTTCACCGCTCTGGGTTTAATCAGCAGCAGAAACACAGGGGTGACCAGTAAAGACGAATCCCTAAACATTGAATAAAAAACGCTGATGAAGTCAAAGTCGAGAGCTGGGAAATCGTGTAGTGAATCGACACTGGGGAAACTCTTTTACAGGTGTGACGCATTAGCAGATGCTAACGGCAATGAGTCTGGATAGGATGTGTACATTTGCGGGATGGTTTTCTACTTTAATTCACCTCGGTTTACTCCAAATATCACCGTTAAAATAAAATATAAAATACCATTTGAACTGAGTTTACTTTGATTTAACTCCAAATATTACAGTTAAACGATGATTAGCATGCAACAACTATGAACATCTATCTACTGTATGCTACGATGTTAGCATTACTGAGATAAGCAGGGTTTGGCTTGGTCAGTCCATTGCAAAACTCACGGGTTACTAACCCGATCTCACGGGAATTCGTACGAATTTTACGAGGTGGCTAATTCGTAACAATTCGTACGACCTCACTCGTACGAATTAGTACGATTTTGCTAAATCGTACATATTTTACGAATTAGCCAATTCGTATGAATGAATTTGTACGAATGACCTACCCCTGACCCCGCCCCTAAACATAACCGTCACGTGGGTTTAGACAAATCGTACAAATTCGTACGAGTGAGGTCGTATGAATTAGTACGAATTAGCCACTTTTGAATCACTCGTACGAATTGGTCGTGAGATAGCGTAGGGGTTACTCTAATAAGGAAGAAAACGTCCTTTCTACACTATTAGAAGAAAAGGTTCTATATAGAACCTTAAAAGGTTCTATCAGCGCTACGTATTTGGAACCCCTAAAAGGTTCTATACACTCTTAAAAAAGGGTGCCTCTGGGTTCTGTATAGAACCCTGGGGTTCCGTACTTGGCCAATAGAACCTTTTTACCAAAAAAATTGGTTCTATATAGAACCATTTTGGAGTTTCATATATGAAGCGGGGGATGGAACCATTTCTGGTTCCAATCTCTTGGAAAAAAAGACGATTCTGCGAGAAACTCCCACTGGATGCTGAGGTTAAGTCACGAAACTAAAAACTATCCTAATTATCCTTAAGTAATGAGTATGGAAATTAATTTAATTAAAGTGAATGGTTCATTGTTTCTGCTGTAATATCAGAACCTTTAAAGAGCTGTGGGAACGAGATCTTGGCGATTTATTAGGTTAATTTTGTTTGGCGAGAAGAGGCCAGGGAGAAACACTTTAAACAGTTTTTTTTTCTTTCTAAAATTAATTAAAATTGAATAATATGCTACTAAAAAAAGTAATAGTTAACAAAATATATTTTAATATAATAAATTAAACTATGCTAGTAAAATAAAAAGTAAAATATATATATGATTTATAATAAACAAAATATTGAAACGTTTATGATATAACAATAAATGAAATGTAATGAACAAAAAATAACTAATATATAATTTGTTATATTTGTTAAATATATAAAAATACACTCATTTGTCATGGATAACACAACAAAGTTAAAAACTTATTTCCCTTTATAAAGCACAAACTTCACTCATAGTGGCAGGTTACTATAATAAATACATGAAATATATAAAATACATAAACTATGCTAATAAAATTGTAATACATTTATAATATAAAATAAACCATAATCAAAAAAAAAAAAACTTTGTTCATTGCTGACATTTTGAGCGTTGGTTATTCATATCTATATTATAAATGCATGACTCGGGCTCAAAGACGAGCTATTCTGAGTCTCCCTGTGTGTTTGTGCAGTTCTCCGGTGTCCCGTCACTGACAGGCGTAAGTGGAGCTCGTTTATCTAGCGTAGCTCGTGTTGTTAACCTTGCTAAAATGCGAGCGCATGTCTCTGTACTGTATTCAGTGAAGAAGCACCTGAAATCTCTCTCACGGCTTCTTCACCGCCCTCGGGTGTTTCTGAAGATGTCACAGCAAGCGTTCACACACACACCGGGTCTTTTATTCCAGTGACGGGACCAAAGAGAGAGACAGCGGGAGCCAAGGGTCCAATCAAACTGACATACATCGACCAGCTGAGTGTCTGTGAACAGAAGATGCCATGGTTCAAATGAAGAATCTGAAGTAAAACCACAGTAAAAGCAGTCTTTTATACAAGTTTCCCATAGATGTTGCTTGGTAACCATCATTTAACTGTGATATTTAGAGTAAAATCATAGTAATCTCTGTTCAAATGGTCTTTTATGAAAGTTTCCCATAGATGTTGCTTGGTAACCATCATTTAACTGTGATATTTAGAGTAAAATCATAGTAATCTCTGTTCAAATGGTCTTTTATGGAAGTTTCCCATAGTTTTTGCATAGTAACCATCGTTTAACTATGATATTTAGAGTAAAATCATAGTAATCTCAGGTAAATTGTTTTATATGGAAGTTTCCCATAGGTTTTGCATTGTAACCATCATTTAACTGTGATATTTAAAGTAAAATCATATTAAACTCAGTTCAAATGGTCTTTTATGAAAGTTTCCCATAGACGTTGCATTGTAACCATCATTTAACTGTGATATTTAGAGTAAAATCATAGTAATCTCAGTTAAAATGGTCTTTTATGGAAGTTTCCCATATAGTTTTTGCATTGTAACCATCATTTAACTGTGATATTTAGAGTAAAATCATAGTTAACCAAGTTCAAATGGTCTTTTATGAAAGTTTCCCATAGTTTTTGCATGGTAACCATCGTTTAACTGTGATTTTTAGAGTAAAATCATAGTTAACCAAGTTCAAATGGTCTTTTATGAAAGTTTCCCATAGTTTTTGCATAGTAACCATCGTTTAACTGTGATATTTAGAGTAAAATCATTGTAAACTCAGTTCAAATGGTCTTTTATGAAAGTTTCCCATAGTTTTTGCATAGTAACCATCGTTTAACTGTGATATTTAGAGTAAAATCATTGTAAACTCAGTTCAAATGGTCTTTTATGAAAGTTTCCCATAGTTTTTGCATAGTAACCATCGTTTAACTGTGATATTTAGAGTAAAATCATTGTAAACTCAGTTCAAATGGTCTTTTATGGAAGTTTACCATATTTTTGCATGGTAACCATCATTTAACTGTGATTTTTAGAGTAAAATCATAGTTAACCAAGTTCAAATGGTCTTTTATGAAAGTTTCCCATAGTTTTTGCATAGTAACCATCGTTTAACTGTGATATTTAGAGTAAAATCATTGTAAACTCAGTTCAAATGGTCTTTTATGAAAGTTTCCCATATTTTTTGCATAGTAACCATCGTTTAACTGTGATATTTAGAGTAAAATCATTGTAAACTCAGTTAAAATGGTCTTTTATGGAAGTTTCCCATATAGTTTTTGCATTGTAACCATCATTTAACTGTGATATTTAGAGTAAAATCATAGTTAACCAAGTTGAAATGGTCTTTTATGAAAGTTTCCCATAGTTTTTGCATGGTAACCATCGTTTAACTGTGATTTTTAGAGTAAAATCATAGTTAACCAAGTTCAAATGGTCTTTTATGGAAGTTTCCCATAGTTTTTGCATGGCAACCATGATTTAACTGTGATATTTAAAGTAAAATCATATTAAACTCAGTTCAAATGGTCTTATATGAAAGTTTCCCATAGATGTTGCATTGTAACCATCATTTAACTGTGATTTTTAGAGTAAAATCATTGTGAACTCAATTCAAATGGTCTTTTATGGAAGTTTACCATATTTTTGCATGGTAACCATCATTTAACTATTTAGAGTAAAATCATAGTAATCTCAGTTAAAATGGTAATTAATCAATTTTAATTTGATTTTACTCCAGTTGCTATAGATAAGCAGTCAGGGTGTGGCGATCACAAGATCAGGTTATATTTAAACGACGATATTTCTCGTCGAGGAGAAAAGCTCTCAATATTTATTGAATTATGCGCTGCGGGCGCTTTAAACGATTAGTTCACTTCAGAATTAAAATGTCCTGATAATTTATCAAATTATCATGTCTTTCTTTCTTCAGTGGAAAAGAAATAAAGGTTTTTTGAGGAAAACGTTCCAGGATTTCCTCCATATAGTGACTTCAATGGGGTCCAACTGATCGAAATGCGAGTTTCAGTTTCAGTTTAACCACAAATGTTCATCTTCAACTTCACGCATTACGCAATCATGTTGGAAAATTCAGGCAAAATGTAGAGCGAAAAACTCATTTTTTCCTCCAACTTCAAAATCATCCGACATCTTTGTTTTACTTTTTATTTATTTAGTAAATGGCGCTTGACTTAGTCTTTGCACGTTCACCTAAACACTAGCTCTGTTCTTACACCTACGTCCCGCTTGACCTTTCAACGTGATTACGTCATGTGTGGCGCATCGCAGCTAGTGCAAGACGAGCATTTCTGGTTAAAAACTATATTTTACTGCAAATAAATGTGCTTGCCGTGCAAGAATCATGATAAATGTTCATAAAAGAACCATTCTACATGCCATTCCAATAAATACCACTCAAGTACCATGGCAAATTTTCATATAAAGTGATTTTCCTAGGGTTTTAAACAGTGGTTCCCATCCCAGAATCATGCCTCTATGATGTTGCAAATATAATAATAGGGATTTAGGTGCTTTGCAACAAATGAAGAGAATAAAACGCAAGCTCACACTTCCAGTCGACTCTGATCTTCCTCATACACTCTTTCCTCTCGCCAACATCTGTGCATTTTAAGGTGGGTTTCTATGGCAACTGCTAGAGCATTTCTACAGGATGGTCGAGAGACACAAACTCAGCATGAAGAGAGAGAACGAGTGAGTCGGATAAAAGCATGTCTCTTAAAAATGCCACGAGACACTGGAAAACCTGTAACAAACACAGTAAATGTCCAAACTGTGTTTAATTAGTGTTTCCCTTTCCCAAAGCATGAACATCACGTTAAAGAGATGCTTTTCTAAAGAGGAAAATCAATCAGGAAATCTGTGTGTTGCAGATATATCTAAAATGATCTCATTTTTGCTCTGAAAGTTACAAAGAAGATTAAAAATGTTCCACGGAAGAATTAAAGTACAGTAAATATCGAGTTAAATCGTCAAGGCATTGTTTATGTAATGTTTTTAGAAAAATAATCAATACTTTAATGAAATGAAATGTATTTAATGTATAATCTTTTGTTAACTTTTAATAATAATAATCTAATGACTTTAATTTATATAATGTTGTAGCGATAGGCAACAAGATTTATCATAATTACTTAATTAAAACATTTTAAAATGAAAAATTCCGCGAGAATCGCTGAATCAGTTTTCAAATTGATTTTGAATTCATTCACACAGAACAGAAAATAACCACTTACATCTTGCGCAAATTTTTTTTAATTAAAAATCAAGTTTTTTATGTCGTTTATACGTCTATGTGGACAAACCATGTGTAAGTTCATAAGTCGACAGCATTGCTGAGTATTTCCAAAAGACAGTCTTAAAAACACGCTTTGAAATCGCTGGTGTTTCTGCCGTCACAAACGAACTTGTAACCAATCAGATCGACGTGTGATCGTCAACCAGTGAGTGAGTGAGTGGAGGCGGGGCTCATTTGCATATTCATAGAACCGCGTATACTAAATGAGGCAAGGGTATGTGTGTGAGAGTGTGTGTTATCAGAAATAACTGAATCTGCTCTTGCAGGCGTGAATCAGCCGCTTGTTTAATGGCTTCCTTCGCGTCGCTAATCAAACACACGCTTGCTGGATTCGCAGAAACCACTGCATCTCATTCCCAGCGCTCGGAGAGGCCCGCGATCTGCTGGCGGAGCGACAAGGACAGGCGGAGTGGAAATTCAGCATGTTCAGCAAATACAAGGTGGTGTTCGTGCTCGGGAAGCGCAAGGGCTGAGCGCTGCTCTCAGATCAGCTGACTGTCGCCAAACCACTCCAAACGTTACAATAAAGAAGCACTTCTTCTCAATGGAAAACATACAGAAAACAAACTTGCTTTGGTCAAAATGTCCTGCTTTTGGTGAATAAAGTTTTGTTATGCTATAGTGTAGAAGAGTTGCTGTTGTGTTGTGTTTTACCATCATGTGACGAGTGGAGCATGAGCTTATAGCATGAGAAAAGGTATGTTAAATGTTTTATATTGTCTGCTTTCAACAAGTGCTATGCTATACTAATACTATCAAAGCATTGTGATGCCAATTACCAAGGTGGCGTTTATTTAGTTAAAGCTATAGCAAAGTTTACACTTGTAATAATATAAAAGTTGAGATTACACGATAATTTAAGTTGTGTATGAAATGGCTTACTCAAATATTTCAAGTTAAGAGCAAATCAAATATACAAAATACAAACTGCAAGTTCTGCTTTCTAAAACTTTACATAACTTAAAAAATATTTAAATGATTACTTCAACCTTAGAACCGATTCCTTAACGAGGAAAATAGATGAGAACAGCGAAACTTGATGGTGTTAAATAGTCTTATAATTTAGTCATGCGACACAAAAATATAAAAACTGTAATGAATTAATCCCATGAACCATATTAAAATAATTTTGCTAATTGGGATACTTACTTCTTTCCATGATGTTGAAATTGGCCAATGTGAACATAACATGTGGAAACGATACAAGATTAGGCTAAGTAAATCCAACACACTTTTTTTTTCAATGTTTGTCAAGTCATATGCTAGTCAAGCTAATTGACAGTTAGCCTACTCAAGGACAAAATTGGGTCTAGTGTTTGGTTGTATCGTGTCCCGTGAGTTTGTGCGCTGGGTCAGCTGTGGTTTAAAGTTATTTACCCATGAACTGACTCCAGGTCAGCATTAAGGACGGTGGGTCGTCAACCGTGAAAAGTGCTGATAACGTGAACAGAAAATGGCGCTCGGTGTTTCGGCGCGATCCATCATCGCGAGCTCATCCGTTGATCTTCATAAACACTGACACTCCCAGTAGGCTACAAGAGAGGAGAGATACGATGACGGAGGGAAATCATAGAGAAACACGGATTTATTCAACACATTTCTCGACGCGCTTTCTAAAGATGCTACTATAATTCCCCATATTGTCAGACTATGAAGAGGAGGACTCATGTTTTAGCCCTTTTTGGCGTCTCGCGACACACAAACGCAACAGATGTTTAGTTCACACACACACCTCAGCGCTAGAGAGCTAGCAAGAGCAGCTGAGAGCGCTAATTAGCCAAACACACCAGACCGAAAAACAGGAAACCTGTGAATGTGGACAGATGTAAACTGGGAAACATCAGCTAAAGCTGTTTGACTGAGAGATAAGCTACTGTTATGTTAACACAGATAGACAGACAGACAGACAGACAGACAGACAGACAGACAGACAGACAGACAGACAGATAGATAGATAGATAGATAGATAGATAGATAGATAGATAGATAGATAGATAGATAGATAGATAGATAGATAGATAGATAGATAGATAGATAGATAGATAGATAGATAGATACTTCACTTTCTTAAAGTTATTTCCCACACACTCGGTTTACTCAGACCGAATAATACACACACAGACACCTGCTCTCCAGCGGCCACACACATACACACACCTGCTCTCCAGTGGCCTCACACACTCACACTGCTCTCCAGCGGCCCCCCCCCCCCCACACACACACACGTTTGCAGTCGCCATGACCGATGATGATGTAAACAGTGGACCTATTTCACTGTGAGTATCCGAGCAGCGGATGCTAATGCTAATGCTAATGCTGAGACTGCGGGAAGAGGAGCTGCATCACGACTGACCCCTACAGGCCAACAGGGAATTACACCTCATCAAAGCCCATTAATCTGATCACTGCAGTTATAATGCTGCAAAAGACAGAGTCCGTGATGCTGCAAGGTCTATTATGATGGATGGATGCTACTTTTTGCAGCCATGAACCCCAAAAATACTCTCACTCTCATGTCTTTTCAAACCTGTATGAGTTTTTCTTTCCTCAATAAACAACAAAAATGTCCAACCTTCTGTTAGATATATTTAAAATAAAAACAACTAAAAAAAACTTACAGTTAAAAAAAACTTTATAAAAACGTATAAATTAGAAATGTTACTTTAAGTTTTTTTGTGTTGAAATACTTAAATTACTAAAGTTGAAATAAAAATAATGCGTGAACATAAAATAACTTGAATTAGAAAATTTGATTTGCCAAATAACAACAAATAAAGTTTGTAACTAAAGATTACTAAAAAAAAGTTTAAGTAAAAAATAAAGCTAAAAGATGTATTTAAAATTAAAACAATAATATTTTACATGACAAAAGTTTATACTTAAATAAATTAAAGAACAAAAAATTTACCAAATGGTTTAAGTACAGGTCTAAGTCAATAAAGCGCTGGCAAAAATTTATTAGTGGCACAAAAACTTGCATAAAGTCTAGTATTTCATTTTGTTTTCCAGTCCAAACATGGAAATATTCTAAAACCAAAACACATTTACTTGAGAAGCAAAATTACTAAAGAAGAATGTATCTTGTTGTCTGATAATTAAATGGGTTATACTTAAAACAAAATCTGTGAAAATGCCAAAGTATGTTACAGGCAAACACCAATGCAAAACTTTGGAAACTTCACATTTTATAAATGGAACTAAAACTTGCATTAAATCCAGCTTTGCAAAGACTCTTCGGCTTGTATAGAAGCAGACACTGAAAGCAGAGATGAAAGTCGAGCATGCGGTCGGGGTGAATACAGGTGAAGAAACATTTCAATGGCTTTCCATGCATTCTGTCAGGTAGAAGGAGTGGACCGGGCCAGAGGGCATTTGACATTTCTTTGACATTTCTTTTTCATGCATTTCTACTTTATCGAGGGGAAGGAAAACAGACCATTTTTCCTCTTTACAAACATGAATTTAAGAAATCCCTAATGGAAACCGCTGAAAGGCAACCTTTGTTGAAGCACAGCTCAGAAACACCGTCCGTCCTGCTGGAGAATAATAGGGCTACAAAAAGAAGCGTGAAACTGCAATATCACACTGCGTTAGTGTCGGTGTCACGATGGACAAGATTATTCCAGTCTAGTCAAATAACACGGCAGCTTTTAGATTAAAAACCCGCCGAACACGCCGCGACTTTGACAGTTGTGATGACGAATGCTTCGAAAGAAACTATAGCGTGTTTCTTATACAGTCACACCTGTACTTTCAGCACTGAGGGATTCATCACAGTAGATCAATAACGCCATATCTAGCACTTCAACTAAGACTATACGTCCCCAGATATAGGCTTACAGTACATTTCCTCCTTAAAACTGCAGCGGAAAGTCTCAAAAACACCAGTGGATCTCTGAGTAAGTGGAGGCAGGGCTCATTTGCATATTCGTAGAACCGCGCATACTAAACGTGAAAAAGTAGCCATTCACTTTAAAAAAATTAGCGATTCTTTTTGAAAAAATGAGTAATTCACTTTTTAAAAAGTAGCGATTCTTTTTTAAAAAGTAGCGATTCTTTTTTAAAAAGTAGTGATCTACTTTTAAAAAAGTAGCTAATCTTTTTGAAAAAATAGCAATTCATCTTTAAAAAGTAGCAATTCTTTTTGAAAAAAGTAGTGATTCACTTTTAAAAAAGTAGCGATTCTTTTTGAAAAAATAGCGATTCATCTTTAAAAAGTAGCAATTCTTTTTGAAAAAAGTAGTGATTCACTTTTAAAAAAGTAGCGATTCTTTTTGGAAAAGCAGCGATTCACTTATTAAAAAAGTAGCAAATCTTTTTTTGAAAAAGTAGCGATTCATCTTTAAAAAGTAGCAATTCTTTTTGAAAAAAGTAGTGATTCACTTTTAAAAAAAGTAGCGATTCTTTTCGAAAAAGTAGCGATTCACTTTTAAAAAAAAAGCGATTCTTTTTGAAAAAAGTAGCGCTTCACTTTTAAAAAAGTAGTGATTCTTATTGGAAAAGTAGCGATTCACTTTTATGAATCGACGAAAAGACGTTTATTTTGGTTATTTTTAAGGGATAAATGATTGACTACAGGGAAACTTTAAAGGACAGTAACAGCAGTGTCTATAATGGCCTCGTGTGACGCCGGTTCAGGGAACAGACCCGAGTCACAGTCCCTGTTTGGCCGGACGTGTAGTAAACACATGTACAAGAACAGCGGTCCAACTCAATCCAGGGGACAAGAAAATGATGAGTCGTGATAATCACTGCATCTTTCACGGGAATGGAAGTGACACATAGAGAATAAACCGCGCCGCTCCATTATGAATGGTGCTATTATAAATAAATAATGTAGATCTCAAACAGCACAATGCATCTTGGGCCAGCAAATCTAGTTTGCAAAGACACACCTGCCGGAAAATGATGAAGAACACATTAATATTTCTACTCGCGTATATTCCTTCCAAACGGACTCAGAAAGCATTCAAACTGTATAAGGCCGGTTTAAGAACATGCCCACATCATCTTTCACACATAAAATTATGAGCAAACACACACACACACACACACACACACACATGCACACACACAAAACAATATGTTATGTGAAAATGAAATCTTATTGTTAAGCAATAAACTTTGTGTTTATATGTGTGAGAAGCCGGGTCATAAAACTATTAAAATATGTCTGTTAATTAAAATAAAGCTAAAATAAAATAAAAGTAATAGTTGAAAAACTTACACTAAACTAAATTATAAAAAGCTGCCTTGGCAATAAACTGAAAATTTTAAGTTGACACACTAAAATTATTAAGTGAAAAAAGGGAACAGTTCTTACCTGTCATTTTTTGCAATTTTTAATTGTCTAAAAATCTTTACCAGAATTTGATCTTTTGCTAATATGTCGGCCTGTTTTTATGTTCTATAATACCCAAAATGTAGGGATGCACAGATATAAAAAAAAATTTGCCGATATCGATAATTCTTTATATTAACCTATAACTGATATTTCGGTTGATAAATCGATATTTAATATATAAACCAAATTTTATATTTAATATATAAAACAAATTTTCTTATAAATTTAACGATCGCATTAAAAATTAAAGTATATCGGCTGATACCGGTACCGATATTGTGGCCGATATATATCCTGCAAGTCTCAAAACCCGCTTAATGTGGTTTACCGATCTTATCTTTGATTAATTGTCTAAAAATCTTTCCCAGAATTTGACCTTTTCTCCAATATGTCAGCATGTTTTTGTACTATATACCCCATGACTACATAGCCCAAAAGTAGAGATATGCACCAATATGAAAATATTTGCCTATACCAATAACCGATAATTATTTATACCTGAAAACCTATAACTGATATTTTGTTTGATAAATCTAAATAAATATTCAATATTTCAGCCAAATTTTCTTACAGGGCCCATAACGATCGCATTAAAAATGAACACATATCGGTCGATACCGATATTGTGGCCGATATATATCATGCAAGTCTCAAAACTCGCTTAAAGTGGTTTATTGATCTTATCTTTGATTAATTGTTTAAAATCTTTCCCAGAATTTGATCTTTTCCCAATATATCAGCATGTTTAGTGCTATATACCCCATAACTATATAGCCCAAAAGTAGACATGCACCGATATGAAAATATTTGCCTATACCAATAACCGATAATTATTTATACCTGAAAACCGATAACTGATATTTTGTTTGATAAATCTAAATAAATATTCAATATTTCAGCCAAATTTTCTTACAGGGCCCATAACGATCGCATTAAAAATTAACATACTGTATATCGGTCGATACCGATATTGTGGCCGATATATATCGTGCAAGTCTCAAAACCTGCTTAAAGTGGTTTACTGATCTTATCTTTGATTAATTGTCTAAAAATCTTTCCCAGAATTTGACCTTTTCTCCAATATGTCAGCATGTTTAGTACTATATACCCCATGAATATAGCCCAAAAGTAGGGATGCACCGTTATGAAAACTTTTGCCGATACCAATAACCGATAATTATTTATACCTGAAAACCGATAACTGATATTTAGTTTGATAAATC